ACTGTATATATAAATTGGGATGAATTTCTCTCTTCCTGAAGTTCTCAGGAACAGAACTCTAATAGCCAGGTAGTAAACCTGATTTGTCCACTGGGCTTCATCAGCACTGTCTATGTGTCTCGTTAGTTTTCTGGACTAGCCTACAGCTGTATCTGATGAAGTGAGATTTATTCTCAAATATAATTATCCACGTGTATTCTTTGTTGCACAATCGATTTGTTCAATTGTATCCTGGTAAGATGAGAACAAATCCTAATTGAACCTATGTAAATAACTAAGTTCTAATGAAAAAGTAAGGCGAATCAGTAAAAGTATTTCTTTCTGCCTTTCTAAGGATGGTAAAAATCAGATACTACTTAAAAATTTTTTAAATTTTATATGCAAAAGCAACTGATGGCTCATGCCTGTAATCCCAGCACTTTGAGAGGCCAAGGCAGGCGGATCACAAGGTCAACAGATCGAGATCATCCTGGCCAACATGGTGAAACACTGTCTCTACTAAAAATACAGAAATTAGCCGGGTGTGGTGGTGGCGCACCTGTAGTCCCAGGTACTTGGGAGACTGAAGCAGGAAAATTCCTTGAACCTGGGAGGCGGAGGTCGCAGTGAGCCGAGATCATGCCACTGCACTCCAGCCTGGTGACAGAGCAAATAAAAATTATATACAAACACAATAGTCTATTATATTCAAGGTGATATCGATGAAGAAGAAAGAGATCTTCATATATCCATAAAAATAGATATTAAATGCAATACTAAAAGCAGTCAAAACAAGTAGCCATAATTAAACTCATCCGTTCATTTCTTCTTGTGTAATTAATTGTTATTTTTTGGATCTTGGATTAGGTACTAGTTTCATGAAGAACATCTATTTCCAGACTGAAATAAGTCCTGGAAATTCTGATTCATTCCGTGGTCCAGTCTGAAAGTTGTTGAGCTGATAACTCTAACGCCAGTAACCAAGAGTCTATTCTTTGAAGTGTCAGTAGTCCAGAGTATCTGGCACACTCCTTTCTGAGAGGTCTGCAGACAGGAGTATATGCTGAAGATACAACCCCAGGCCTGTGGTTTATCGCACAATTCACAGGCAAACATGAGATGGAGACAGACACCAGTTTGATACCAATGAAAGGCTAGATCAATTATTACAGTGACTAGCAATATCAGAATGACGAGTGTAAAATTCCCCTTTGTGACACAGTGCATAATTATTTTATAAGAGTTTGATCAGTGTTTCTCTGGAGAGTAAGAACATATAATGGACAGCATGGGCTCTGATGATTCTCCTCAGTCTTCCCATTAAGTGTTCAATTAGAGAAAGACTTCTGTGCATAACATTTCCTATATACAAACTGAACCCAGGGAAGGCTGAGCGTCCTTCTGATTTGACAGCTCATTCCATAGCTCTTCTGTAGTGGGGAGGCTAATAAGAAATACAAAGCCCTTGAAACAAACCTAAGGCTTTGTAGCTCCTCTCTCCAGGGAGCCTGTGGGAAATATTAAAGCCAGTTTTAAGTATAAACTATATTCTTGAATTTTTATGATTTATATTTTTAAATTTTAAATCTGAAATTTAAATGGGGTTGGGGGGAAATTAAAGTAGTTGTCAGAGTAGACTTGGTCATTTGGCTACAATAAAATCCTAGGTGCCTCAAGACAAATATTTAATTATTGATTTAGTCAAATTGACAAGAAAGTATTGGAAAATGGTTGTTGGTAATGTAATATGATTGCAAGGAATCCTGATTCATTCACAAGTGAGGAAACTTTACCTTTCATAATTTTATGTTTTTGTTTATCTAGTGCTATGCTAGAACCAACACAAAGCAGATATTATTCTGGAGGGTTATAAAATCTCTGCTTCCTGGTCATATCACACAAAAGGGAAAAATAGTATTTTTACTATGCTTTGGTAAGATTTCTAAGATGAATTTATCAGTTCAACCAAGAAAAAAGACTACTTTTAATTTTGCATTAATGCACTGGAAACATAGGTTTTATGAGATCATTTCCCCCCCCTTAATTTATCTCACAAATAAGCCAATCAAAATTAGGTGAATTTTAATACATTTTATCGCTTCTTTTCAGATGTAGGTGTTATAAACAAAAGCAATTAAAATTCACTTCCCTCAAATTTTCCACAACTCGCTGTGTTCTCTCAAGTTTTATCTTTCATGGTATCATTTCATATACGGGTACAAACCAACACTTAGGGCAAAAATATCCTACTCTTTTTGTTCTTGAAAAAGAAAGCTCATCCCATTACTTTGGATAAATAATTGTATTTTTCTGTTACTGTTTCTTCTATTTAATTCTCAACCACCCAATCCAATTATAACTTGTAATCAAAATAAGAACTTAGATTTCACGAAGACACTGGAAAGTCATGACAGAAAACTACCTGTCAGACACAAACATTTTAGCAGACTAGCAAAGCTATGAATCTAGATAGTACAATTTTCTAGAGCCACGGGTTCCTAAAGTAGCAAAAATAAAACAATTAACATGACACAAAAGTATAGCCATTCTATAGTATGTATAACTAAAGGACCAAAAATATGTAAGCTAAATATTATGTCTGTTTATCATTGCTTTTGTGTTCAGCCTCAATATAAATTATCTAGCTGTCTGAAGATTAATTCACGTTTTCGAGTTATATATAAAGATATAAGAAACTACTACAGAAAAATTTGCCAGAATTAGACTTCTATTTAGTCAGATACAAATGTATATTTTTCAAAAACCTTTAAAATTATGTGAGTGTAATGCAAGATTATGTGACTGAAAAATAGTTTGAGAAGTACAAGAAGTTCAGATTAAGTACGCTCTTTCTGGGAAACCAAACCCCAACCTGATTAAATGTAAAATAGAAACTTTATCACCTATTTAACACTGAAAAATCAGAGAAAAGTTTTTTCTTTCTTAAACCCACGTTATTAAAACTGTTCCATTGTCCAAAGATTCACCATATGTATGTGATTGGATTTCTGAGCTAGCAGTTTCTATAAGAGGAAATTTTTCCCTAAAAGTCTAGAACACTTGAAGTATTCAGAGTTTGCTTTCTTTATTTTCTGTGAATTTTGGTGGTATTCCATTTGTAGATGTCATTATTTATTTTTCTTCAACAACCAAAATCTGTTTTTCCTGGTTCTGGAGACCAAAAGTCCAACATCAAAGTGTCGTAGGTTTGCTTTCTTTGTAGGCATCTCTTTGGTGTACAGATGGCCATCTTCTCCCTCATCCTCTCATGGGGTTTCGTCTATGTGCCCACGTGTCTGCTGTGTAGATTTCCTCTTCCCATAAGGACATTAGTCAGATTGCATGAGGGCTCCCCCTAAAGACCTCATTATAATTAATCAAATACAGTTGGATTAGGAGGTACTGGGGGTTACAAAATGACTAGAAGTCATTTTGTGGATGTTCTGCTGAAAAGTACATAAATAATCTTCAGAGTCCTTTTTGTGCTTTTTAAAAATTTTTTTGTTTTATGCTTTTTAAAATTTTTTTTGTTTTTTCACATCACCTGAAATCCAGAGTTGAATTAATGTCCTTCATTTTGGTAACCTGGTTTTTGAATTAAACTATTTCCTTTTATACTGGTGAGAGAGAATATCTATCAAAGAAAGAAAATATATATGTATCAAGTTTTCATTAATATATAAAATAAAAACCATGGCTTTCTATTAAGATAGAGTACATGAGTTCATAAAGAAAATATAATGAATTGTTTTGATTATTTTTACTACCTGATGCTCTTTTACTTTCTGACGCTTAAATAACAAATTATTTAACTTGTATTTCATATAACAATTATTTTAGACTGTCTAAATTTAATGGACGTGAGTAGTACCAAGGCAAATGCAGTTCAGCAGAACTAACAGGTGCTGAGGATAATAACCAGACCTGGGTAAGTGCCATTTAAACACACTTCATCTCATTTCTTTTCCTTTTTTTTTTTTTTTTTTCTCCTTTTGTACTAGTGTCACTAGAGTGTAGAACATTCAGTATTTTATTGATCTACTAACATTTTTTTATTGTAACATATCTACTTCAAAAATGGTCCCCTGAGAAACCTATATTAGATTTGGGGGCTGAATTGAAATGAAGTTTCCATTCCTTATAACATGAAACCAAATTTTCAGGCATTTTCTTATTATTTTTTCTCCCAGATGTTCTCAGTGTTTTTCTTGCTCACTGATCACATCCCTGTAATCTAGAATGAGCTTTGCTCTGCAGGGCGGTCATATGTCAGAGGGGAAATCAGACGGGAAATGCAGAGGTGATGCCTGTGTCTTCAGCAGCACTGGTTTTGACCACTGTTTTTCAGAGTGTGGTGTGAGAGAGGCTAGTTCCTCAACCTGCCCTAGGTTTCATGGCCACATAGTTAGAATGTGCTTTATACTGATAGAGACAGGAGGCAGAGAAACTGTAGGCAGACAAGGCAGGTCCCTGGCAAAGCCCCACCTTTAAGCCAAAAAGCCTGAAACCCATGGCCCAAAGTGAAAGCTTCTACCCCTGCTTGCCCACTCTCTCCGGATTGGTTCTTTCTGAATACTGTCTTTTTACCAATTGAATGTTGACTTTTCCAAACTACTTATGGCCTGCCCCACCCCCATCCCGTGCCTATAGAGACCCCAGGCTCAGCTAGTAGAGAGGGGAAGTAGCTGGGCATTGAGCAGAGGCGAATTGACTTCAGAGACTCTGCTGGATGTCACAGAGAGGCAATCTGGCCTCAGAGGAGAAAGGAAGAGAGATGACCTGACTTCAGGGGGCAGTGACCTTCCCTTCCCATCCCCTTTCCAGCTTCCCCTTTGCTGAGAGCCTCTTTTGTCACTCAATAAAATTCTCTGCATTCATCATCCTTCCATTTGTCTAGGTAACCTTATTCTTGTAGTGCACCGGACAAGAATTTGGGATCCAACAAGTGTGGGTACCCCCAAAAGGGTGTTACAATGGCCCTTTGCCCTCGCTGGCAGAGGGAAGCCGCCACACTCGATGAGGCAAAGGGCCCACTGAGCTGATAACACACTGTTGTCTGCTGACGGCAGACCTAAGAGAGCATTGTAACACGCCCTCTGGGGTCTTGGGGGTGACAGTCAGCCCCATCTGGATGCCGCCACAGGGCCTACACATGATTTGCTCCTGCTGGGGCCAAAGCGGCTGACCATTTCCTGCACTCACTTCCCTACATGTTTCTTCCTGCAAGGGGTGGGGCATAGCAGGCCCGAGTGAGTAATTGGAGTTTGTTCCTGCTGGTGCCAAAGGAGCAGGCTTGTCCCTGCACTCACTCCCATGCTCCCTTCTGTGAGGGATTTAGCATGGTGAGCTGAGTAAATGGGGCACCTCTGTCACAGGTCCCATGAAGGGGTCAAGAAAATATCCTGCATCAATACTATTTTCTAGCCTTGAACACTTGTGATCATATTAACATTTTAAAAGCCCTGGTAATTCAGGCATTTAAAATATCTGTTTAATTTGGTTTAATCTACTATTTTTGAACTATCATCAACTTTGGAGCCCTTTTCTGCCGGTCACATTGGTGGAACTGCTTTCTTGTGGAACACATTTTGAGACAAATTAAAGCAGTGTATTTTAAACCTCTCTGACCTTGTCTCAGAGTAAGAAATAGATTTCATATCATGATCCAGCACACACATATATGTAGCTGAAACAAAGATTTTAGCAAACAATTTACCCTTTTTATGAGATATAATCTGATATTTCCTAGTCTAGTCTATATAATTTTTAAAATGCTGCTTTCTGTTCGTTTGTAGACCTCACTCTCCTTGATAGTATTGGGAAGTTGGTCTTGTGTGTCCTCATCATCACCTTGTTGTTATTCTGGGGCTGATTCCACTCCTATTGCCGGCAGATCCCAAGTCTTCCTTCCTCCCAAGAGGATCACTTGTTATCCTGAAATATAGATTGTGTTCCTGCAGTATGCAAGTGGAAGAACTGTAAACTACCGTTCCTGATGCCTTGGTCATTTCAGTCATTTTCACTTAATTTCAGTGACCTTGATTGAGGAGATAGGGTTTACCTGTAGAGAAATGATAGCAGGCCAGTTAGATGGAAGTTATGACGTGGCTGAGTGAGCCTGGCGAGCTTGGGGTAGGCTAGTCAGGAAGGGTGTCATGGAGAACAGTAGTTCCAGTGGTTCTAGAAGCTTGAGGTGACTTTGGACAAAAATTAGGAAGGATTTGGAAAATTCGGGAGAAACACATTGTGAAATATTAGGAAACAATGTGAGCCAATCACAATAAGACCTTACTTAACCAATGAAAAGCTCCCCCAGGGTTGCTTGCATTTGGCAAGATAATGTTTTATTTCATTGGCATGCATCAGTTTGGGAAGGTAAAATCAGAGAAGAGCCTTTCTTTCCAATTCTACCGTCTGAGCAGCCGCAAGTTATGTCTTAGTAAAAAGTGACCTTTGTTATTAGAAGCTCATGTAGGACCCTTAATAGAAAATCTGTTGTCTGTAATGGATTGCTGCTCATTTAAGGGTACATCAAGCATTCTAATTATTTGATTTTTTTTTTAAATTTTTTTATTTTTATTTTTTTTGCTAAATAATGTTTTTCACAAGCACTTTCTATCTGTGTTTTAGTAAAATAATCAATGTAATTTAATTATCATGTAACTCTGGGCAGTTTATGTCTCTTACACTTTTCACCTTATAAAGTGAGATGACCTGACTTCAGGGGACAGTGACCTTCCCTTCCCATCCCCTTTCCAGCTCCCCCTCTGCTGAGAGCCTCTTTCGTCACTCAATAAAATTCCCCACATTAATCATCCTTCCATTTGTCTAGGTAACCTTATTGTCTAGGTAACTAAGAATTCGGGATCCAACAAGTGTAGGTCCCCAAAAGGCTGTTACAGGGGCCCTTTGTCCTCACTGGCAGAGGGAAGCCGCCGGTTTTCACCTTATAGAAATGATTTCTTTCCCTATGTGAATAAAAAAATTGATCATTACCTTATATCCTCTGAAGACATTTTTATCTTTATAACTTTTTCACATACCCTTTCTCTCTTTCTTTTTATTAAAGTGGGACTGGCAAGACGTGAATCAGCCTGTATTGGTTATGGTCCATGGTAGATTTTTTTCTGGAAGACGGTGTGTTTGGAAAAGGAAAATTTTCTTGTAATTCTGAAAATAGTCTCAGGCATCAAAATATCACATTATAAAATTGTCACTAACTCGGTTTTCTTGTGGCTGCTCAGTTTTCTCATGAGAGATTTCTATAGGCTAGATAAGAAGAGGAAAAGATGACTATTCAACTAAACATTTTAGCTTCAACCACAAGCTATTTTAAGAAAGGGACTGGGAGGTGAAGAATTGCAAAGCTGCAAATATGTAGAAAGCGACTGGCATATGTTTAAATCATATGTTTCTAAAGTTTGACTGAGCATGAAATTTCATTTTCTAAGAAGGTGCCCTTGGGAATGGAGGAGGGAAATGCTGGTGCACCTGTTTGTCTGATGGAGCCAAACCTTGAGAGAAACTCTTGGCCAGCCAGCTTGCCCATCCATGCTGCAAGAACACCCTCTGACCCACTTACGAGCATGGAGAGCATGTTCCATTTCTTGAAAATTCAAGACAGAGGAAATTTCAGGTCATCTGCTGAATCATCTTCAGTTCTTACATTCTTGAGTATTATAGACGGACTCTGATTTTCTTCCCTCTTTTCTCTTCTTAATTTAGGATCGTCCCTGCTGTCTTTATTGCCTCATATAGATCTTCACTAGTGGCTTTCCTATGCTTTGCCAATTTCTCTTTTACTTTTATTAGAAACTCAATTGTGTTATATAGCCCACAGTCTCAGGTGACATTTAAGCATTTTTTTTATAGTATTCAACGACCATGAATTGAGGTTCAATAATTGCTTGATTCACTTCATATGATGTGGGGTGGTGGGGGAGAATAACCAATACTAGACAATTTCCTTAAAATAGATAAATATATTCAGTTTCCTGTCTGTGTCAATATCAGAGAACCAGAGTTCCTTAAACATTTCTTCCTTTCCAGGTGCCCAAACACCAAGAATATTTCACCTTGAAAATAGCTGGGAGGGAAAGCTGAAGTTCATTTTACTCTTCCTTTACATCTTTTGAATGATTTAGAGGTTAATGAGCCTTTATAAAGGCAGGACCCAAATATAATTGAGCTGGATTTATTTTTCCCCCGTGTGAGATCTGTTGCAAAATCCATACTGTGCTGCCTTTTCTGGAGTGCGTCAAAGTAACAGCTTTGATGTTCTTTTCACCTGAGACGAATCCTGCCAGGGGCTCTGTGCTCTAGAGCGGCCCTGCAATAACAAAGCCTTGTGTGTGGGAGCAGAGGAAGATTCTACCCTCAGGAAATCATTTGTATCCTCATGCTCTGGAGACAGCATATAAATCAGGAGCAGAAACAGAGAAGGCCCCCAAACTCAAAAAATTTTAAATTCACATTAGAAGCATTTTGCCACTATCTTCTTAGGATAAATGTGTCCATTACAGATTAGCCCACACTTGAGTTATTGCAAGAATGGGTCCTTTTCACTGTTGTTGTCCATCAGTTATTTTTAAAATATCCATGTGTTTCTGTATTTACTCACATACTTGTTTTCTTCAATGGACACTGTGATGGTAGTGGATCTGTTTGTTATTGGGAATATTGCTACGAAATGCGGTCATTAAATTCCTACTGGATTTTACTGAATTCAGGAATCTGCATGTGAAGAAGTGAGATCTGTCCTGATGCTCTAGGTTGGGGATTAAGATGCTTGTGATAAAATGCAGGAATGTACAGTCTTTATACCGTATAAGGCTTTCCAAGACAAAGCATTCAGTCCTGGGGGTTTATGTATCAGGAACTTTGCATCCCGCTGCTTCTCTAGAATCCCGGCTCCCTGTTCTAGGTCCATCCGTATCATTTCCTTAAGACCCTCTTCCCCTCTCGACTGCCTTCGTCCTTCCACATTGGTGACACTGGCAGCTGCAGTCCCTCACCATGGCACTAGACAGTTGCGCATCCCTAGCCCAAGGATCAAGTTATTTCTGCATTTCTGGCCCGATAGTCAAACTACCAGACCCTAGAGACTTTGGAGTCTTAGAGTGTCTGCACTCGCTTTTTGGCCTCAAGACCTTCATTTTGCCCCTAACAGTACAGGATGGCAGCCTTCCTGGTTTCCATCTTGACTTTTACTTTGAAAAATGTACAGTCTTGGCTGGGCATGGTGGCTCATGCCTGTAATCCCTGCACTTTGGGAGGCTGGAAGAGGCGGATCATTTGAGGTCAGGAATTTGAGACCAGCCTGGCTAGCATGGTACAATCCATCTCTACTAAAAAGACAAAACTTAGCTGGGTGGGATGGTGCATGCCTGTAGTCCCAGCTACTAGGGAGGGCGAGACATGAGAATCACTTGAACCAGGGAGGCAGAGATTGCAATGAGCAGAGATTGTGCCACTGCACTCCAGCCTGGGTGACAGAGTGAGACCATATCCTAAAAAAAATTATGAAGAAAAAAGATAGAAAAATGTACGGTCTTATATTTTATTTTATAAATAAAATAAATCATATATTTTAAGGCATAGCTAGCCTTCCTGGCTATTGCCTCTTCCCTAATATGACCTTGAAGGTACAAAGTAACAATAAATTGTCCTACTGGGTGATGATGACAGCCGCAGAAATGGTCAGACGCAGACACGGGGATATAGTAATATTTCACTTCTCACTACTGTATTAGTGCCAAGAAATCCAGATCTTAAGTATGAATGAATAAGAAGAATCTGTCCTGAAAGTATCCCCACTCTGGCCACACATACAAGCAACCATACCTGTTAACACACTTGGACCTGCAGTTGTCTAAAAAAGAATATCCAATTTTGTCTTGTCAGAAAGTATAAAAGGAAGCTTTTTTATAACTTTTCTTTCCCTCTCAATTTCTATCCGTCCTTGAACTTTTTGTCTTGTATCTGAGAACTTCCTAATTTCCTGACTGCTGGCCCATCTCAGAACTCTACTGCCCAACGTTCTTTGGCTCTTTGCAGGGAAAACTAAAAATATATTTCATATATGGTTATTTTTTTCTTCAGGCTTTTGCTTAGATGTTATTCCTTTATTTTAGGCTTTTGCCCACACTTTAAATATATACTCACTGATTTTTTTTTTTTTTTTTCAATCTGGCTTATGTCACCTTGGCTTTTACTATTTCTTGTGTTTGTACTACCTGCATAGGAACTTTTAAGGATTGAATGAGGTAGTATCTGTGAATTAGGATGCAAGTTATGCTGCTATTACAGGGACCTCAAAATCTCCTGACTTCATCTTGATAGAAGTTTAGTTTTCTCACCTGTGACAGAATGGTCCCCATGTTCTAAAGCCTTTTTTTTCAAGCTGTTAGGTATGGAAACCCAAACATTGGTGAATTCAGAAGTCATCAGCTTTCGCAGAGCTGAATCATGAGGGTCAACCTCACCAGATAACTCTGTTTCAAAGGTGGAATACTGGTTGGTTAAAGTAGAATAAGAACCAAAACTAACAAAGGGAGAAGATACTGATGTTTATTCATCAGCACATCCTCTACTTATAGATAAGTTATTTGGATAGCTCAATTTTTATCCAAAGGTTATTTTATAGGCACAGAATCCACAAGGCTAGTCAGGTGGATTACGTTAAGCAGTGCTGTCACCAGAACTGTGGTACCCAGATGTAGCTGACTGAGACAGATCCATATAGGGTCCTCCATGCTGGTTGTTGACTTGCGGCTGAGGTCATCTCTGGGTAATGCCATAGAAATATTGTGCAATTTTTGTCTCCTTGGAATTCTCTTTTATGCTGTTCATGACCATCTACCTTACTTTTTTATTAATAAATTATTTCTTTGGACAAGTACAATATAATTACCTTGACTGAATGTTTCGTAGTTAAAATTATAACCCTGTAATGCCTCTGTGAGTATCACCTCTGTGGGTGCGGCAGCTCAGGCCTGTAATCCCAGCACTTTGGGAGGCTGAGGCCGGCGGATCACCTGAGGTCAGGAGTTCAAGATCAGCCTGACCAACATGGTGAATCCCTGTCTCTACTAAAAATACAGAAATTAGCCAGGAGTGGTGGCCCATACCTGTAATCTCAGCTACTCGGGAGGCTGAGTCAAGAGATCGCTTGAGCCCAGGAGGAATAAAAAGAATATAGGCTGGGGTGGTGGCTCACACCTGTAACCCCAGCACTTTGGGAGGCCAAGGTGGGTGGATCACCTGAGGTTAGGAGTTCGAGACCAGCCTGGCCAACAGGTGAAACCCCATCTCTACTAAAAACACAAAAATTAGCCAGGCCTGGTGGGGCATGCTTGTAGTCCCAGTTACTTGGGAGGCTGAGGTGGGAGAATCACTTGAACCTGGGAGGCAGAAGTTGCAGTGAGCTGAGATTGTGCAACTGCACTCCTGCTTGGGCAACCAAGCAAGACTGTCTAAGAAAAAAAAATTTTTTTTTTTTTTTAACGAAACATTTATTTTTAGTTGGTGGGGCATTGGTGGGGCATTGGTGGGGCATTGGTGGGGCATTGGTGGGGCATTGGTGAGGCATTGGTGGGGCATTGGTGGGACATTGGTAAGGCATTGGTGGGGCATTGGTGAGGCATTGGTGGGGCATTGGTGGGGCATTGGTGGGTCATTCATGGGGCATTGGTAGGACCCTCCTTACTACTCTTTGTAGGTCCTACAGGTGCAGTTTAAAGGTTTCATTTTTACATGAAAACATGTCTTTAAATAAGAAAGCTTAGAAACTGAAAAAAACAAACCCCACATAACTAGTTTTCTCGAGGTACTGTCTGAGTTAACTAATCAGGTGTTGGGGAAGCAGTCTCCTGTATGCTTATAATCCTGAACATGCTGGCGGAATCTAAAGGGGGTTCTTGGGTGCTTTTTCAGAACAAGGGCTGCTGCTCTTTCTGGCTGTCTTGGAAGCACAGATTAGGTCTGTTTCCTTTTCCCGGGTCACCAACGACTCTTCAATGGAAATGAAAAGTAGGGGAAGGGGAGGTAGTGCCCAGGAAGTGCGTTCTTCTCATGATGCGCTGGGCTTGAGGAATGTAAGTAGGCCTCCTTGTAGGAAAAGCTGGCTTCCCGTGGCCAGTGGAGACCAAGCCAGGAGCAACTGAACCTCCTACCCCATCTCGTGGGCCGGTGCTCCTACCCAGGCATGCTGGCTGTGACCGCACTGTCTTTCCAGGGACATGTATTAAGGTAATGCCCTGATACCCCACTTGCAGAGAAGAATACCCTAATACTGTGGGGGGGGGGGGGGGAATCGCGATGTAGAGATGTAGATAGCTGAGGTTATATAAATTACCCATATACTTACATTTCCTAAAATGAAGATGAATATGATCATATCTCTCAGTGCCATAGAGCTTTACATTTATGTTCTAAATGTGCATGTTCAAAATATAATTATGTAAGGATGGCCAGAAATAGAAATTTTTATTATATATCTTAGCACATGTTATCGAACACAGAACACATGCACCATACACATATGGCATGTGGCATAAGGAATTTTTGTTTTGTGAATGATTTTTGCTCTGAAAATATAAAATATTGAAATTCATTGTCTATTATCATTTTAATAAGATATTTTAGAAATAGCAGTATCTACATATACCATTGCCATGAATATGTTTTTCTAAAATTAAACATGAAAAGAGCATAAATATGATACATCTGAATCCCCAAGTTACTGTTTATATTTCACATAGTATCAGACTCCAAGCTTCTTTGCTGAGGAACCATATATTTTGACAGAATTTCCTTTATTCTGTGCATTTTCATCTACTTCTAATGTGCATATGCCTAAAGTGTAGAAAATAGAAGAAAATGGCATGCTGTTGCTAAGTGGATGTCCTACAGATCTGAAACAAAAAAGAAAAGCTTTAAAATACACTGTAATTATGTCAAATGGTGGGATTTTACTTTGATTATCTAAAATAAAAATAAGAAGGTTGAAAATGAAAATGACTCTATGACAGTAAGTTTCAGTGTGTTTTCAGGGTATCAAGTTTGTAACATTAAAAAAGTCCATAGTGCTCTTTTATAAACCGTTTGACACTACTCCCTTCAATTTCATAGAAATATCAAAATGGGCTGGGCGCGGTGGCTGACGCCTGTAATCCCAGCACTTTGGGAGGCCGAGGTGGGCAGATCATGAGGTCAGGAGATCAAGACCATCCTGGTTAACACAGTGAAACCCCGTCTCTACTCAAAATACAAAAAATTAGCCAGTTGTGGTGGCGGGTGCCTGTAGTCCCAGC